TGTCGCCTTCGTTAGGGCCTGGAAGTCGAAGTCCAGCGTCTACTCCCTCAGATATCAACAAAGGGTTCAAAGTACTATTCGAGAAAAAACCAATGAAAACTAGTCAGAATAACAAGAGCATACTAACCTTAGCCAGAAGTAAAACGGAAGTCGGAATACCGCGCGTATGCAATAGACACTATGCTTCAGCTCTACTCATATATGCCGTTCTGACCTGACCTCGTAAATCCGCATAGGGATTGATATGGCGCCAGCTCTTTGGTGATAAGGATACACTCCTCCTATCTCTTCATTTTTGGAATTTTTAGCATCTATCCAAAACGCTTCCAACGTTTTGCGCGCAAGGATCTCGGGTTCGAACGACAAGATCTGCATCGCAACACTTGTGCTCCAGCTTTATCATGGCGCACTTATGATGCTTTCAAACAAGAGTGGCTGCTTTTGACTTATTCAAACCATAATGTTTTTTAAAGCGACAGCAGAGAGGGAGGCCCGTTCCACCAATGTACTATGTATCGGCGCATGCTAAAATGTGATCTTATATACAAAGCTGAATGTCTGTATGTATGTCTGTCTGTATGTATGTCTGTCTGTATGTATGTACGTATGTTCCGAATAGAAAATTCCATTTCTGGACGGATCCGGACCAAACTTGGCACACATACACTTCGGGCCCCGGCGGGTGTCATAGGTCACTTTTCGTCATCGATCGATGTCGATTTTACCGATTTTTATCGATTTTTTTGCAGAGTTTACCTACAGGGCTAGGAGTTGGCACAGGGGGGTAATCGAGCATGGGGATTTCGAATACAATATTAGTTTTCAGGATTATCGGTTACTTTTATCGATTTTATCGATTCTTTTGCAAAGTTTGAGCTACGGGGCTGGGAGTTTGGCACAGGGGGGTAATCGAGCATGCTGATAACGAGTTCGATACTAGTTTCGCTTTTCGGCTATCCGGGCCCCAAAAATTTTTTCTTGTGGTAGAGCTTGCTCAAACTTCGTGTATAAAGGTTATCTTGAAGGCCGGGCATACTTCAAGCGATTTCAATCGCGACGCGATTTGGCAATATTCCAGGTGTCCATAACTCATTGTGAGCACATTATAAATGTACAGATAGGGCATTTCATCAACGTAATTATACACAATATGCATGTGCAGTTTGCTAATGTTAGATCCGAAGACTTCTGGCGAATTGCCAAATCGCGTACGACTGAAATCGCGTAAAGTATGCCCGGCCATTTACATGCTGATTACAGATATCACACTTTCTCCGCAGAACGCCTTCTCGTGTGGTTACGATAGATGTACGGTAGGAAGTCAAAATCATGACTTCGGCTAGAGTTCGGTCCATATGGCTTATTCGACATGCTAATTACGAATATCATCTCTCTCTCTCTGCATATTGGGACCTTTTCATAGAGTTGTGGTGGTTATGTGGCATGGGGTCGAAAACATAGATTTGCTTTAAACTTCGTCTAGGTTGGTCATTTAGCGCGCGAACATGAATATCATGCTGATTTCGCAGGATAGTGCATTTTCTTGGGTTACGGTGGGTGTAGATGGGTCGAAGTTCCAGATTTGCTCAAAACCTTACCTGTAACGGTTCACAAGTACACTGCTTATGAATATGATGCTTGCTCGCTGTCATAACGCATTAGTGAAGTTATGGTGAGTTGCAGGGTTTGAATGGACATTTTTTTCGCTTTCGAGCCAATTTAGATCCCAGATATTCACGAAAGGGGAAACGGTTGTTTTGCATGGCGCTCTCCAGCGTCATCCTGATAACCTGTCCCAACGTGTAACGCACACGGCAAATCTCCCTCCCTGTTTTTGCTTAGGCAAAAGCAGCCGAAGGGTGTATCGCGCGCGGCAGTGGTCCTATAAGGAAAGCATTACGGTCGTGGGAAACTTTTATACTACACGAATTGCCATTATCATGGGGATTAAGCACGATATTCTTGAAACAGCACTCTAGGTAATTCCCTGCCAAGGTTTCAGGCAGGTTCATAATTTTTAACCGCAGCCAAGCGGAATGACTACCATATTCGTCATCAGCGGCTTGAGTAACCCCCATATACCGAGTTTGAGCAAGACACCACAAAAACATGTTAGGGCCCCGATAGCCGAATAACGCCATCAGTTTTTAGAATTATCCTTACTTTCATTGATTTTATTGTTTTTTTTTTGCAAAGTTTGAGCTACGGGGCTGGGGGTTGGTGAGGAAGGTAGGTGAGCATACTGATTACTCACACAGCGTGAATAGGGAACTGCATGTAGAAGTGGGCACAGGTAAAGGTGTACTGGGATAGAAATGGAACCTTTATCGTTTCTGACAGGGCCGGGCGGAGCCGGGTAAGCCAGCTAGTCTTATATATAAAGCTGAATGTCTGTTTGTCTGTCTGTCTGTCTGTCTATCTGTATGTCTACGTTTCCATTTCTGAACCGATCTGGACCAAACTTCGCACACATACACTTCGGGATGGGGCGGGTGTCACAGGCTACTTTTCTTCATCAATCGATATCGATTTTATCGATTTTTATCGATTTTTTGCAGAGTTCACCTACGGGGCTGGGAGTTGGCATATGGGGGTAACCGAGCATGGGGCTTCCGAATACAATATTAGTTTTCAGGATTATCGATTACTTTTATCGATTTTATCGATTTTTTGTAAAGTTTGACTTGCGGAGCTGGGAGTTCGCACAGGGGGATAATCGAGCATGGAGATTCCGAATACAGGGCTGGCAGTTTGCACAGGGGGGTAAAATCGAGCATGGGGATTTCGAATACAAGATTAGTTTTCAGGATCATCGATTAATTTTATCAATTTTATTGATTTCTTGCAAAGTTTGACTTGCGGGGCTGGGAGTTTGCACAGAGGGGTAATCGAGCATGCTGTCTACTAAAACAGCGGGAATAGTTTTTGGCATGTAGGCGTGGGCACAGGGAAAGGTTCGTACAGGAATAGGAATAATGTTCTTTGACATAGTGTTTTGACAGGGCCGGGAGGAGCCGGGTAAGCAAGCTAGTTTGATTTATGCTAACGGCATTAGCTCTCTATTTTTTATCGCGGCTTGCGTAAACTTTGGAAGTAGAATTTTATCTCAAGCATACTTATTCTTTAACATTCTGATAAAAATTTCGAAGGATAGACGATTAGAATGCTGGAAACAGAGAAGCGAAATGATTTTAAGGTTCGCTGCTACACTATTTTTTTTCTTGAAAAGGAAAGATGCCATTTTCTTAGGTTTAAAGAATGTTTATAATCAAACATGCTCCTTATACCTTTAGAATTATCTGCAAACAACATGTACTTAGCATCGCAGAGACGTCCATTTGGATGACAAAATGCTTTTATACGTAATTAAAGGCAGCGAAGAGCTGAGAGATTCAAATAATCAGATTGTGTAACGGAGTGCCCAAAAGCTGCAATCAACAATGAAGTGCTCCGAAGAATCTGGATACGACACCACCAGATTTAGATGCATATTCGGAAACTACTTGAGCCTAGAAATTTGTTACTATTTGCAGACGCAAGGAAACAACAAATTTCTCAAACTCAGACAATCGCAACTGACTTCTGAGGGACAATCTTATTGGAGCTGCCAGGTACGGCCGTAACTCACCCACACGGCCCGATAGGAGCGGTCCGCGAAAGCTTTAGAAATTCAGTTTCCCCCGGAAGTCATTTGCGATTGTTCAAGAATTAGTATTGAAGGAGGTGCGCCGCAAAACATGATATTTGGAGCAAGGAAGCCTCAAACGATCTCTCTCATTACTGTCAAATTAGAGAACTTGTAACACACAGTGCGTGATATTCATAGTAAACTAGCTTTTGTTCAAGAAAATCTCTAAAAAATTTCATTAGCAGGGATTCCACAAACGTTATTTGATACTTGACTTTTGTGTGTGTCGGTGTGTCGAAACATACATAGACAAGTGTGTGTGTGTGTCGGAAAATACAGGGTGCGGCAAAAGTCTGGGAGCCTAGTACTTTTTTGTACAAAACGAGGAGGGAAGTACATAGACGAAAAATTTGGCGCACACATAATTCGAACCATTGCAGATACAGCCCAGTTCTTGAATTGCAAAACTGCCTCTTTTGGCTTCCACGCTGCCCTACAAAATCTTGGCAAGTCCACCTGTCATGGCACGCAGGTAATCGTAATGGAATTCGCCTCACGCCTTCACAATAACTGCTTCTTTTACCTTGGCAAATACGCAGCGTGGAGCAAACTTTTGTCTACAATGTATTTCCAAAAGAATTTTTTACATTGCTTAGGAATAAAAATATTGGATTTTCAATTAGAAGCATGTGTACGCCGCAAACCGAAATTTTGGCTACAATTGCGCGAACAAGAACTCAAAAATATCGTTTAAAAAGTATAAAAAGTGCTTCCATAACCGAATTTCAATAGATTCTAATTTAGAAGTATTCAAAAAATACAGCCTTGGTCCCGGTGCTTGTTGAGCATTCTATAACTTTTAAATTTGTTCTGAAGACGGATTTCTACTGGAACGTAGGTAACATTCGCAAACTTTTATTTTCCGTTCATGCAAGAACAGCTCCTGGCAAAAGCAAAACTAGGATACAGTAGCACGAAGCCTCTTCTATGTTGTGTGCATCGAAGTTTTCTAAAATATTAACAGCATCTCTAGTTACAGCAAAAAATGTAGGTACCAAAAATTCTGGTTTTTTCGCTTTGCAAAAGTACTCGTTTGGTAATTTCCATTCTTACAAAAACATATGGCAGCCATTTCCAGCCAAATAAAGTGTATTCTGTAGAGGATGATCGCAGCATCATGTGGCATAAAATTGAAATCAAAACCATCAGTATCTTTGTAATTGCAATACTGCAAAGTTTAGGCTCCCAGACTTTTGCCGCACCCTGTACATAGACAAAGACGGACTAACGAACGGTGAGCTTTGTGAGTAAAATCTGAAATGACTGCTTTGATCAAGCATCCTCCCCCTTATGCAATGTAAGGAAACCTTACCGTTTATCAGAAAGCCTCTCCAAACGATCCCATTCCTCTTGATAAGTTTCGAACAGTTTTCTTGGGTCTCGGCCATACATTTCCTTCTTCTCTTTGAATTTCTTTGGGACTTAACTTATTTCGTTAAAATGCATAGATCACTGTTTTCATATGGTACCTCGCTCATCAGGACTGACTGTTCGTGACTGGTTGCGTGAGTTGCTGGGCGAGGACGCCTCAGGCTCCGCCAAAATAATCGGTACTATGGAGGACGGCTCTACATGCTTAATCGAGAAAGTAATACGCGATTATAAAGATTTTTAAGCTAGTGAACACCTGAATATCCTCAAGAGCAGCTGGCGGTTCAATTATAATTATTTGCTGCTCTTCCACTTCTTCATCACTGACGTTCTCAGGCACCTCTATATGGCACACTTCTGCAGGTGGTCCAAATACCTGATAATATATTTGGTGACAATGGGGACAAAAATCGTAAAAGGCTAGACTTAACACGTTTTGGACCGCGGAATCGCGCGCGGCAAAAGCGTTTTGCGCCATGCATAGCACGAGGGACGTTGAGGACCGACTTTCCTTCGTTGCATATTTCAGGACTTGAAACTTGCACTAACAACTCAAAACTTCCGCTAAAGGGAATAGCTAGAAGTTGAAGTGGCCAACGCAAACAAAATGCATACCGACACGAAAAATATGTTTGAAGTCAGCTTTTTATGCGGCATCGAAATAGGCAAATTGCATGGAGGGGGCTTCGACTCCAGGCATTCCCTCTGAGCTCTGCTTTGCACTTCTCTTATGCGTTCCTTTTACGTTGTTCATCATTTGACGTCATGGTCTCATACGGCATTTAAAAATCGTGACGATGGCGCGACCGCGCGCGACACGCGCGCCACTTCCGGAAACCGTATTTTCTTTGCTTTCGTCTCTGATTTATTCTTTTTGCTTATGTGTGATAGTATCTAGACACTGGAAGTGACTGAGCTGAACGCTGAGGTAATGCCCTCTTGTATGAGCGTTTTATGCTCCTCTGGGCGCAAAGTCCGCAGTCAAATCCGTCGTCACGATTTTGTAAATGAACCATACCTTTTGTAACAAGAACGAGAATTATTTAGCTACCCCAAAATTAGGCCGCGAATTTTCAAAGTCGTGGATTTCTCTCAAACTTGAATCATTGGGGTTATTTGAAGTGATGATCACGATTTTCTCGTACAGAAATGCCTTTCTCTGTTATTAAAGGCTGTAATTCGTTAAAACTGAACATCTCGGCATTCTCATATGGTAGCTTGCTGACACCCCAAATATGAAAACAAAGCAAGTTCAAGCGCACAGCATGCTGTGCGTGATAAGAAAACTGCCCTCAAACACGTGCGCGCCAGCCGTCTTTTTACGAGCTCGCGATTTCCAATCCACCTTTGGGGCGGCATACCGCAATATTGCAAACATGTTGGTCCCGCAACTCTGGTCTATAATCATGGCCGAGTCTGTTCCACTCGTTCAAACTCAAAATGAGGGGTCTTAAGAGAAACTGGTTTTTGCCATTTTTGCGCTCTTTAAGGTGAATTTTTGCAATCAGCGCGTCGGATTACCCTAAATGAGCAAAGAACTAAGTCGAGGTTTTACCGAGCTACTGCCTTCAAAGGCAGCGGCTCGGCAGACTCTCGACTTGGAGTTTTTTTGCTTACCTTGGGCAAGTCAAGGTGCTGCTTCCGAAAATCCACCTTAAAAAGCGCGAAAATGGCAAAAATCACTATTTCCCAAGGCCTCCAACTTTGAATTTGGACAAGTGGAGACGTCCCGCTATGGTTAGGGAGGCAGAATTGTTGCGAAACCCTCGCAGTTATAACATTGCGGTATTATGCCTTCTCTGACGGGTCAGGGAGAATCGCAAGCTCATCCGCGCGTATTAGAATGGCTTGCGCGTAACGAGGTTTTCTAGGCAAAGACAGCATGCTGTGCACTCGGACCTGCTCTGGTCTCATGTTAGGGGTGCAAGCAACCTTCCATGTCAAAATTTCGGGATGTTCGGTTTTGGCGAACCGCTGTCTTTAAGATGTGCATAGACTAGACGAAAAATCTCAGCCTCACTAAAACTTCGTAAAGGTGTTTCTTTCAACATCCTTGTCGTAGATTATTTGCGAATCTACGACCTTTACCATTTAGAGTCATACTGTATGCTATATTCAGTATCCACTAGCTTGTCGTTGACAGACATTACTGTTCCTGACCACTTAAACCGCCAAATCATCCCTCCATTGTGCTTGATAGTGTACTTGGCGGCGCCTACTTTCATGTAGGCAATCCTTGATTCTGTATGATACTGTTGTTTGCCAGAAGTGAGCATTCAGGTTATCCACGCCCAAAATAGTGGCATAAAAGAGCCTGAATACTCAGTTCTGGTGTTGGTTCGATATATTACCACTACCGTCAGCGGCTGTTCCGCATATTCACTGTTAATAGTCAGCTGCTCCGCTACTACCTAATAAACAGTTATACCCGTTGTGGTACCAGCTTGAAGTATACCAAATTGGTGCATCCGCCAACGGATTGTCTCTTCGGTGCTGCTCACCGAAATTCGATAAAAGTCCCGCGTGGCAGGCTACTAACAGCCGATATTCGACTCTCGTGATTGTTGGTCCACCACTCTCGCAAACAAGAGTCTTACTAAGCTGTCAGGTCTTATCCACAGCTTAGTAGAGTTTTCTAGCTAACTGACTGGTTCACCACAGTTAGCAAACAGACTCCTCGCACTTTTCGGCTACTAATTAGCTTTCGACCCAAGTGATTGTTGGTTCACCACTTTCACTAACTAGGGTCTGCTAAGCTATCAGGTCGTATCCATAGCTTAGCAGAGGTTTTCTAACTAATTGACTGGTTCACCACAGTTAGTACAAGAACTCCTCGAACACTTTTGGCTTTCTTAAAGTCAAAAAAGGACTCTGTGATTGCTGGTTCACCACTTTCACATACAAGAGTCAAATTGTTAAGCTATCAGGTCATATCCATAGCTTAGCAAGGAGGTTTCTAGCTAACTGACTGCTCTAGCACAGTTAGCAAAAGGACTCGTCGAACATTTTTGGTTTCCAACAGCCAAAAAAGATTCTGTGATCGCTGGTACATCCATTCACGTACAAGAGTCATTTTATTAAGCTGTCAGGTCCAATCCTCAGCTTAGTAAAGAGGTCAAACTAGCTGCCTGGTCAGTCCACAGCTAACAGACGACCCTCACAAGCTCCTTGACGGTTGACCAACAACAGTCAAATCACAAGCTTGCTGCTAGCTATCAGGTCAATCCATAGCTCAGCAAAAGAAGCTACTTCAAGCTCTTTATTTGCATCCAGTCCATGCGAACAAGACAAACTATGTCGATGTTAGCTGGATTCAAGACGCGCATTTCAATGGCCTGCTCTTCGGTCAACAGCCTCGAAAGCAAGATCCTAAGTACAGACAAGGCATTTGAATTCCCTACTACAGCGACTGAATGCAATGCCTTCATAGCCGACAAAATGGCAGAAATTGACGAAATACAGATTTCTCTCACGGGTCTGCTAGAAATGGAAGTCCAAGTACAAAATGCTATAAGCTTCATCGGCGCCAGGAAAGACCAATCAGAGGGTGAAAAGTTGATAAATGAGCTGGACACCTTCTTAACCCCTGAGGCCAATCGCGTACAATTAGAAGCAATCCACTGGACAAACAAATTGAAGTACCGAATGAGAGCGCTCGAGAAGCAATCAAGCTTGATAGACAACTTCACTTCTATAACGGCCCAGACACCACCACGAGATACGGATACAGCTAGTACTCTCTCGCCAGACAATACAGCGAGAACAAAGTGCGTCTACCGACACTTGAAGTTTCAACTTTTAATGGAAATTACAAAGACTACCCAACATTCTGGACGATTTATAATTCACTGATTCACAGCAATCCACAGCTCAGTGACATTGACAAATTCCTTGTACGGCTTTGGTTCAGTACTCTGCGTATGCTGCCACGCGGGACTTTACGGTGCTTGGTTTGCGGGCACAGTAGACTGCGACACCTCAAACTTGGGTAATTAAACTTTATTACTAAGAAGCCACTAACAACTATAATGCGACTACGACGATGATAACAAGTGATTATGACTACCAATACTATCATGAACAAGTATTCTGCGACCCTGTGATAGATTCTGTGGAACTGTGATAAAGTCTGTGACACTGTGATAAAGTCTGTGGGACTGTGAGGCTGTGAAGCAATAGAGAAAAAGCAAGAAACAAATAATAAATGAAAAGAACATAAAACTAAAGGCAGCAACTAAAGGCAAGCATGGCAGCTAACTTATATCCTCTACTTATATACGCGATAGAACATAAACAAATACCAATGCGCTCAAGAATCTACCGATGCGCTTACTGATAAGCATAAACATGACATAAGCTGTGAGAAAACTGCCGATCGGACGCGCAAGGCATCCGTTCTTTGTGCGCGGCGCAGTGGATACGAACGCGAAGAGTTCGTATATTCCTCTTCCTGAGGCAATCAGAAAGGATAGGCGGCATCAGTGCTCGGAAACATGCCAGTAGTAGGAGAAAACTACGAAAAAGCCATAACGCTTCTCTACAAACAATTCAACAAGTATAAATGCATGGCAGATCTGCTTATCACAGAGCTCGAAAGGCTTCCACGAGCAGAAGAAGATGCCCAAAGTTGTAGAAAAGCTCTGATTAGTGTGACCGAAAAGCTCACTCACATCGAATGTGCAGGAGTACCTTGGACAACAACCGAATGTGGAGACGACTGATACTTTCAAAGTTTCCAGACTCGCTGAACGAGAAAGTGCTTTGCGAAGAGCAGAATGAAGGGAAATCATTCACAACTGAGAAAATCCTAGACGTTCTTGAAAACGCTGTCGCTTTGAAGGAGACCCTCGCGCTAACTACATCCGCATTCGAGGATTGCAACATCACGTCACGCTCTGATTCTGATCAAGAAGTTGATGAGAGGCTGAACTACGAAGACTCAATCGCATACACTTCGAAACAGACAAGGAGTTACATCGTCGAGAGATTTGAGTGCTCAATGCATTTGTGGAAGTTACCAACATGACGCGATGCGACGCACAGCATTCCAAACACCAGCAGAAGACGTGATGAAGCCAGGAAACAAAGGCTGTGCTTCAAATGTCTACAAATCGATCACAGGATCAGTGATTGCACCAGCTCACAGTCATGCTACAAGTGTCACGGAAACCATCACACTGCCGTATGCATGGGTAGCTATTCAGCATCTAGAGGCACCCCAACCAAGAGATCACAGCAACGATTTGCTCGCGATCAACATCTCCCAAGAGACCCTGAATTTGCACAAAATTCTGAATTTCTCCACAACAAGAGCACTAGGCGAGAAGGAGGAATGCAGCACGTATCGATGATGGCGACTGCATTCGCATGACTACACATCAACTAGCTTCGAGCCCGTCACTGTCTTCTTTGATGGGGGTGCACATAAGAGCTTTATCAACAAAAGGAAGACTCACGCTCTTGGCTTACCAGTGCTGCAAAACACCACTTTCAAGATTGGCGGCTTAGGAGGATCTAACGCAAATTTCACACAGTGTCCCGCTTACTTTGAGAACAATGTCTGCCGGATCGCTGCCGAAGCTGTGAAGATACATACTAAGTCAACGCTCACTTCCACGATGAGCACAGCTTGGCTATGCGCAGATAGAAGGTTGACTCGAAAAAGAAAGATTCGAGTAGCACAACCGGATCTGAAGACGCGACGGATCACACCAAACATTCTCATTGGTCAAGATCCAATTGATCAATTCATCTTGAGGGATCAACCATGTACAATTCTTGCGTCTGGGCTTATTCTCACCCTACTGTTTTCGGCCATGCAATCCGGAAGCAGTCGTATGTGCGGAATCAAAACGGAGGAGTATTCGCAGAACACTGCAATCACCAGCGCCTCCTACAATCATCCAGTTAGTAAAGGATCAGTAAAGCAGAAGCCAACTACAACTGTTGAACGAACGAAACGCGCAAGTTCCAAACGCCGTGTGAAGAAGCTCGATTGTTCGATTCCGGCAAAGAAGCTTGCACAACCTGCTAAGTCACCAACGAAAAACAGAAGCGATCAACGCAACAACGCTTTTGATGGACTGCAGTTCATGCGCAAACGCCGACAATCCAGGACTCATGGACAGTCGGTGAAGAAGAATACTGAAGCTCAACTGGGTTATTTCGCTTTAGCGTTGCGCCTGGCCCCAAAGGCCGACCACGGTACGATGACCGACCACCGCACGATTTCTTAGACGAGGACACAAACATGTTGTAGAAGTCATGTGATATATGTAATTTAACTAATGTTGTGATGATGTATTTAAATCTGTTAACGCTTCAGTAATAGTGTAATTTGTATTTTCTTGCTTTCGCGCCTTCCGTCGCGCGCCCCACTGTCGTAGATTATTTGCGAATCTACGACCTTTACCATTCTAGAGTCATATTGTATGCTATATTCAGTATCCACTAGCTTGTCGTTGACAGACATTACTATTCACTGACCACTTAAACCGCCAAATCATCCCTCCATTGTGCTTGATAGTGTACTTGGCGGCGCCTACTTTCATGTAGGCAATCCTTGATTCTGTATGATACTGTTGTTTGCCAGAAGTAAGCATTCAGGTTATCCACGCCCAAAATAGTGGCATAAAAGGGCCTGAATACTCAGTTCTGATGTTGGTTTGATATATTACCACTATCGTCAGCGGCTGTTCCGCATATTCACTGTTAATAGTCAGCGGCTGCTCCGCTACTACCTAATAAACAGTTATACCCGTTGTGGTACCAGCTTGGTGTATACCAAAATCCTGATTACAGTTATCATTTTGATTGTGACTGAAAATCTTTTTGCGCGACTTAAGTGGGTGACGCATTATAGCTTTGACCAGATTTGCGTTTTGGTCCGAATCGTCGACCATATAACCACTACAACATCAGAAAATCGCGCTTGTTTGCAAAATTAACACGATAATCGTGATCAGCATGCTAAATATCCCCCGATAGACAAAAAACTAAATCTGCGATATTGACGCCTGTGACGGATACCTTCCTACCATAACTATACAGGGAGGGTTTCGTCTTCCTAAATAAAGAAAGTTTGTTTCCTAATTAGTTCTTGCCTTGTCCCAGCCCTGCAACGAGTGATTACTCCAAAATGCAATTTTTACTGCTCAAAAACGATCCGCGCCGAAGTTTTTCGCACGCGATGTTCAACGCCGCACCGATCTGCGAAAGTTTGCTGTTTGCCAATCATCCGCCCTAATAGATCAAGCTAGCGCATGACCAGAGAGACATATTGTTCTTGTGCCTTTCTAATGGCATTCTTATACTGGAAGGGAACCGATTGTAGGAAGCGACAGTTGCAAACTCTGTGATGCTACGCTGACCTGCTCAACTACTGGGGGCGAGTACGTTGGCATTTCGTTCGAAAGCGATTGGAAGATCGGATTCCTGATGACCAAATCACCCTTCATGGACGTGTGAGGTGGCGACCTTAAAATGATGTTCTTGTTTTGATTGTTTTTCCGACAATGAAGTTGCTAATAATGGACATTTGAGAGCGAACAGTTAATCTGTTAGAAATTGTTACACGCTAGCAGGCATGAATGACTAACAAACTAACTTAACAACAAAACAGAGAAATCAGGTCCCAATGCTGATTCTCGCATGCTGAAAAAGCTTAATGACACCCACCCCGCCCAAAGTTCATATTTTTGGAGTTTGATGCGGTTCCCCATGCTTCTTCAAACATCTTAGGCCGATCATTACAAGAAGTGCTACGTAAAACACAAAGACGCCAAAAATCGATAAATCGACAGCGCCCATTGTTGTATTTCGGTAGAAAAGCTTAGGCCCGTATGCACGTACATCCCCGCGGGGAGGGGATGTGCGTTATACCATTGAAATGATCCCCGCTGGGGATCCCCTCCCCTCCCCGCGCGAACCCCCGTATGCACAAAAACAATATCGGACAAGGGATCCCCTGTGGGGAGGGGAAGTGAACCCCCTTATGCACAAGAGGGGATCAAGCGGGGAAATCACCTTGCTTTCAAATTTTCTATGAAAAACTCTTTCTTTTTTCATATTTTGACTGCAACTCATCTTCAACTCCTCACTTTCAATAATTTAGGGTTGCGGAATGCGCGTATGCAGTGACTGCGCTCGGATCACCAGAATGATTTTTTTTACTCCCATTATGTTCTTGCTTTCTTGAATGCTGCCCACTTTCGCTCATGCTGCCCCATTTCAGCGTAAAAATGTTGTACCATAGAAGTTGATGAGTTTTTGCAAGGGAATGGGTAGAAGACGTTATGCTGCCGAAAAGGGGGGGGGGTGCCGCGCGGACGCTCAAAGCAGTATTTTAACACATAACAGAAACTGTAAATCGTGCCAGCTCTCCATAAACGCTGTAGCTACACAGCTGCATATCGTCTTTTATCCCAGGGGAATGATCCCCAGCGGTCATCCCCGCGATGCACAAGGGGAACGCTGGGGAGGAGATCACTCCCCCGAGGATCTCTACCCAGAAACACGCGATTCTGCTAATTTTCGTTTTATAAAAAACAGTTTTACGTTAGAATAACAAGATAAAGAAAATTTATCATATAATGTGATAGTTACAATATGTTGTACCAGCCTTTATGGATAAAACAATCATGTCAAGTAGAAAATGCGCAACTCTCGTGAATGGTCTCAAACTTCTACAGATATTCGAAACTGGCAGATGTATGTCCGGGTTTTTTTACAAGAAGCGAATATGGAAGAGAGAGTTACAACTGCAAGCTACAGGTCGCTGAGAGAGGAACCCGGTTTCCGTAGAAAATCTTTCATCAATTTGAACGAAATGCTTTGTAATAATTGACTGAAATTAGAATACTCGCTTCTCTGGCTTGACCTACACCATCGAACCCCTACTCCGTTTCAGGGGATGTCGATCCCCTCCTCCGCGTTGTTGAGTTACACTCGTGCATACGGGGATCGAGTGGGGAGGGGAAAGGGATCCCCTCCCCCATTCGAACCCCGTATGCATTGGGGGTTCGCTCGATCAATACCTCTGAAACCATTCACACCATCCCCGCTATAAGTGCAGGGGATGGGATCGCTCCCCTCCCCTCTGTCATGGCGGGGGTCGGCGGAGAGGATCGTTCCCCTGGGGATCCAGCTCCCTTCCCCTCCCCAGCGGGGACGTACGTGCATACGGGCCTTAGTGACATCCACGCCGCCCGAAGTTCATATTATTGAAGTTTGGTGCGGTTTCACATGTTTTTTCAAATATTTTATCATTACAAGAAATGCTAACAAAAATGCCGAAAGTTGATAAATCGATAGCGCCCAATGCTCAATTTCGTTGGAAAAGCTTAGTGACATCCAAGCCGCCCAGAAGTTCATATTTTTGAAGTTTGGTGCGGTTCCCCGTGTTTTCAAATATTTTAGCCCGGTCATAACCAGGGTCAAGCGTGGGGTGGGCACGCCACACTTGGGGAGCCGTAAAGAGGTCAGGAGGATGGGGGGGGGCGTTACTTAGGCGATAGTGATGTTAACAACATGATGTCAGTCGAGAATGTCTGATAGGCCCATTGTGCAAGATATAGTCGTCCTCACCCCACTAGTCGGTCGGTGGTCGAATTTGAATTCGAACTGGAGCAGCCCGGCCACGGCAGACCGCCTCTAACCAACCGTTTGTACATGAGTTTTCCTCTTGTTTTCCTCGTGTTTCTTTGCTATCTCTCGAATTGCGGCAATGTTCTTAATCAGATTTTTAGATTTCGACCCGCTAACTATTGTTTTGTGCAGTTGTGCCCGTTTGTTTTACATTTTTCCAGGTAAACCGGGTAAAAGGATGTGATTGGAGATTTCTGAATGAAAAATTTCTTTTCCGGTAAGTGACATATACCCAAATGTGTTTTGATGAACTGTGTCAAGTTTTTCATTAGAAAAATGTGTACTCCAAACTATTTTTTTGCGATATGGCTGAAATTCTCTCAAAAAGTGTTTATTTCAAAAAGTTTGATCTGATAGATTAAGAACACTGCCGCATTACGAGAGATAGTAAAGAAACATGAAGGAAATAAGAATAAAGCTTGTGCAAGCGGTTGGCTGAGGACCGGCGTCTTCCACGCTCTGCCGCGGTCAGCCTGCTCCAGTTCGAATTCAAATTCGACCACCGACCGACTAGTGGGGTGAGGACGACTATACCAGCACTGATGTTCTGGCCTTCTGTCATGCACGCACAGTAAGCATATTGAAACAATCCTAAAAGCACAAAAGCATCATTTTCGTAATTAGCATGTCAAATAACCCCTGTGGGCCAAGTTTCAGCGAATTTTGAGGTTTCTAAATATTGGGACACTCAAGTAAGGCGGTCAATTTCGAACATGCTAACTTTGTTTCAAGGGTGGAACTACTTTTTTTTGCACTCATTACAGAGTAATAGTACTTTTAACCTCCAAACTGCCAGATTTCGTTTGTCCCATTTTTCGCTTCCAATTGCTGAGAGACTAGAGAATAGCAATCAGGCTCAAAGCACTTTTGTGAAAGTTACGAGGATCAGGCTATCGAAAATTGTTCTTGCCGCTTTCCCTCGCGATTCACCTAGTAGCGCAGACTTAGCATATTACCGTAATCTGATATTTGCAGCAGTAGCAACCATATAAAAAAGACAGAGTTTTGAATGTTTTAAGGTAAGTTAATGGGGTGTGGCACAACCCCAAAGGTATGGTGGCCACAACTTTTCAGGGGTTGTGCCACCCATTAACTTGCCTTCGAAAAGAATAATAGCGAACAAAATAAACATAGTTTGATAGCCTGAGTCTTGTAGTTTTCATAGGATTAATTTGAGCTTCACTCACCTTCTTCGCTCTGAGTAAAAGCTGGTGAAAGTGCAGCCATTGGAAGCGAAGAATGGGACAAACGAGATTTTGTGCTTCTAATTCCATAGTTTGACGGTTATTTGAAGCAGGATTCATGGTAGGTATACAGGGAGTAGTGCTTTGTGCTGATTACAAAAAGAGTTAGCTAATTCACTTCTGAAATATAGTCAATCATGTTTGAAAATGACTACTTCACTTGGGTGGTCCAACCGGGAACCCTCAGAATTTACTAAAAATTAGCGCATGGGGGTTATGTGACATGATAATTACGAATATGCCTAATTATGTATGGTAGAGGCTTTATGTCATGCCTACGGAAGGCAAACGAATTCTATCCGGCGCTTGAGTGCCATCTTGCTCGACCCTGGTCATAACTAAAGCTGCTAAGCAAAAAACGCTGCGCGACTAAAGTGTTGCTCATGAACATGCCTTGCTGTCCGAGGAACTTGCGAGCAACAGGATTTGCATATTCCAGCAATTAGAAAATAGAATCAGAGAACACAAAACCAGTTTACGAGTCCTTAGGTCCTTTTGAGGGATATTGGAGTAACTTTGCAAATTGACGCTTCGTGGTCCCTCTTAATCAGTTTAGTTCACTCTCTTTTCCCACAATGTAATTCTTGTTCGAATTTGGTCACGGTTTTCTTCCGACAAACGAGCAACTCTGCTTATCCCACTGCACGCGATCACTGTCGAAAAGGAGCGATAACGAACCGAACAGACAGGAATGGGCTTCCTTCTGACGAAGTCTGTTCGCTCTGCTGCCTATCAGGGGAAGGTGAAGTATGAGTTCCTGAATCGGACTTCTGATCCAGCTCCTCATTAGTGTCCTCGGGTGGTTCTCGACCTTCCTAAAGATGGGAAAATGATCACAATCTGTTAGTATCGAAGTAATTCTATCTCTTCATACTCTATTCGCACAGACTGTGACTGCATTAACTAAAGTAAACTTTCCTTATTACCTGCATGGCAATGGTACGTTCAACAACATTTTCAAGATCCAAAGCATCTATCATGCTCGCCTCAACTCCACATTTTTTTCCGACAGCGTGGAGTAGGTCGCGAACTTTGAGCCTGTAACGACGAAATAAAGGCTGCTGCCAAATGAACGCGCAAAACCTGCGGACGAGAACGCGATCTTTATCGCCACAAAGCGCATGAGCGCAGGATTTACAATGCTGGAGATAGCGCGCCGCGTTCCTACCCGCTTGCTCAACTTGCTTTGCGCCTTCGTCCGGCAATAGCCTTCAGTTTGAATGTGCGCATCGTCAAAAAAAGCTCAAACCATAAGCTTGCAACATGCATTTTCAAGAATCAAAACCTTAAAAGAATGAAAATACCTACGTTTTCCCGCCAAACCATATTTTTGTGGAGGCCGCATTTTTCATCTTCTTGCCAAGATAGTGTAGCTTTTTCATATATTCAGAGCCAACGTCTGCAAGATAGGATGATAAGAATAACTTAGAGCCAACAAAACATGTTTTACCTATAGCAATAGTTGTTATTGCTAATCCTAAGCACACGTACAAAAACGTGATAGGTAAGAAAGCAACCCTACAAAAAAAATGCACAGGTTTGAAATGTCAAAAAAGTGCTCACCTTGTAGGGACAAGTTGGCCAAAATCTATTGCAGTGAGGCATAAGAAGTTGAAGTAAAGCCCATTGAAAAAATCGACCTGACTTAGAGGTATTGGGATTATTATGCTTTCGAAGCTATAAGGCAAAACGTCTAACGGGCCAAAGGCGCACGGCCGTAAACGTGATATTCATTCGCGCCGCACCTAGCTGAACTGCGCTAAGCAGGAGCCCCGCTCGCTTCGCTGACCTCTTTTGAAATCAGAAGAAGTTCAATTACGCAACGCTTGCTCAGGTGCGAAAAGCACCCAGGTCGCAAATAGCAGGTGAAATTTTAGCTTTCCAAGCATTATCTACACTAAAAGCTATAAAAAGCATGTAGAAACACAAAGGAGGACCAGTTTTTGCTTGTGATAGATGTCTGGTTACCACTTATTTGCTCTAAAGAGGTGCGCTCTTAAATTGCTCAATTTTTGCTTTCCTTAGATTTTCTCAATGAGAAGAAGTCAAGTAAGTCTCTCAGACAAAAAGAAAAAAAGAAAATGTAGCGGGACAGGCAGATTTTGAAAACTGTTGAATGATACCCCATTTGTCGAACTTCATGATTGTATGTCTTTTTATTCCTAGCCATACTTCCACTGTACTACATCCAGCGCGTAGGTTCTGCTTCACAGAGGCTTGCAGTGGTTCTCCAATTCAATGCCTTCCTCGTAGTCGCACAATAATGCTTCTAGAACTTACTGGGCGATGCCGATCATCACGAATTAATTGTAAACAACTACTCATTAGAAAAGCTCTTTTACGTAAGATCGGCGAATTTGAGAGGAAGAAACCTCTATGTAACAATAGAGATGCGAGTTTGAAATCAGTTACGGAGATATTATGGCTTGATAAACCCATAAGGACAACAGCCATTGTGAGTTATATCTCACAAGGGGAGGATACAAACTTAAATTCACCTTTTGAGATGAGACACACAGAGTTGGAATCAACTTGCAACGCTGATTCCAAATATGCTACATCTAGCTGCTTAGCACTATTCTGAGCGAGTTATGGTCTCTTTTTTCTGAGCAAAGTTTGCGTGTCCCTCTACCTACTGATGATGCTACGGTGTCGACGTCTAGGTGGTTTTGCAACTGTATAGTGCTCTCTTTTGAAATATAAAGAATTAATCTGACGCTAGTTTAACATCTTAAAAGGAGAGGATACTTAGTTGAAAGCATCAATCCAGATGAGACACATATCGTCTCAAAGCGCTTAAGTCGCTGATTCCAAATCTGTGGTATATAGCAGCGGAGAGGTTTTGTAGAAGGAGTTATGAGGGGTGTTTCCCTTTGGGGTTGAGGCGCACCCCAGCAGGTCTCCCCTTACCCACTGGTACCAACTGGTAGCAACTGGCTAGTGGTAAGTAATTTGAATGAAGATTACATTAAGGACTATGATACTCGTATTACTTTGATTTGTTAACACTTCCAATTTCAGTTAGCATATATCATCCAAAATTTCAGGCTTTAGGGCTCTAGAGCCATTTGAAAGCTCAAGAATTGCGATAAAGTTGCATTCGAAGGGGATTAAAACCTTGACACTCTCTTTATCCAGCAAGGCCAGGGCTCGGCACGAGGTGGCTTACAAGCAAGCTGGATATCGTTTTTGGGACGAAAAGCAAAGGGAGTTTCGTTTTTGTGACCGAAGACACACGCAAAATTGGCGATTTGGCGACGTTTTTTTTTAGTCGACATTTCGTTTTTTGGAGGATTTTTAGGGAATATGGTGGGGGGTCAAAGGGGACTTCAATACCCAAAAGTCAAGGGGGACTTCGTTTTTTGCATTTTCATCTAGCCACCTCGTGCCGAGCCCTGAGCAAGGCACTTATCACTAGGCCACTTGCCACCAGTTGGTACTCCTCTACAGTGCTCATAGATAAGGGGAGACCTGCTGGAGGGCACCTCAACCCCAAAAGGAAACACCCCTCATAACTCCTTATAAAAAACCGCTCCGCTGCTATAAACTACAGATTTGGAATCAGCGTTTCAAGCGCTTTAAGATGCTATGTGTTTCGTCTGGATTGGTGCTTTCGACCAAGTATGCTCTTCTTGTTAGCACTTTTTTCGAGCAGATTCGTATCTACAAGCCGTCTTATGACATTCAGAAGTTCGTTAATTACTAACAACAGCAGGCCCATAACTCGGTTCGGAATAACGTTAAGCGGCTAATAGCAGTATATTTGGAATCAGCGTTCAAAGCTGATTCGAGATATATATGTCTCACCTCAAAAGACGGATCTAAGTTAGTATCCTTCCCTTGTCAGAGAAGTAAATTTCTTAAGTTCTTAGGTACAATCTTGACAAATCGACCATCTACGCAATCATCACTTTTCGGCGCCGATTTTGCATAAATTGTTTTTTAGATTTTTTGCTCTTTTGGGAGAAAGTCTAACTCGGACATTCGTGGTTAACTCGCGCAGTAGATCACCGCTAAAAAATACCGGGTACCGCTAAAATATAAGTACTGCTGCTGTAAGCCCGCTTTTGTCGCGGACTTTTGGACTAATCGCGATACTAAAAATAAGGCTGACGAAATTCGTAAGACTCATCGCAACTTCCGATCAACTCACGACTCAAATGTATGCAGTCAAATCAAGCGCGGCAAATCGTGCGATTTGAACTCCACTCATTTTTCGGCGTCGTTTCCCGCTCTTCAGGCAACATTTAGTTAGCCTCTTCGCAGTTTCTTCTCATTGTGTCTTTATTGTGATGGTTTTTTTCGAATCGTATCCTTTTTGTAAGCTTGTACAAACTTTCAAAGTTACTGGTGTACTTTTGTAATGTACCGTTGACTTTCCAGCAGACGCACAAGGACTGAGCCGGTCACCACTTCGCCACATCTAGTGAGTCAAGGATCTACGCAAAGAGAACTCCCACCCCGCCTTTGAACAGCAAGCAAGCGTTATTGTTGCGGTCGCGTGAGTTCACACTTTATATGCATCATTCTTTGGTTTTTAAGCAGAGCCAGCAATTTGGTTTGAGCCTATTGGCATCCATCCTGAATTAGAACAAACTGAAACTTTTTTGTTTTCTCTCTAACAGTTCTCATCTTCACCATTTTTGGCATACAAACTATCATTCCTTTTCTCGCTAGTGTTTCTTCACCCTGGATAGCAAGTAATACAACAAGCCCTCCTTCGCTGCTAGCTTCTTCTTCAACCTGGAAATTTCTTGTATTTTTTGGAGAAAGATTTGGGGACTATCTGCACTGATCGAAACGCAAACAAATAGGGTGGTATTTGTGTTTATGTAGCAAGAAAGTCAAAGAAGGCTTGTTTTTGAGTTTTGCAAAGTTCACAAAAAAGAGTTAATTTTTGTTTTTCTGACAATGAGTAGTTGTGTTGAAGAGATTCATAGCAGTCCTGCTGTTACGCAAATGAGTTCCAATTTCTACAGTTGGGGCAAAAGTCTGAGAGTCTAACACTTTTTCGGATGAAATCAGAAAGGTACCTACAGAAAGTTTGGAGCGCACATAAATTGTACAAATATAGCACAGCTTTCAAATTTTAAGATTGCCTTTCCTGGCTTCAAAGCACCCCTTCGGAATCTTGGCGAGTCCGCCTGTCGCGGCAAGCAGCCACGTGATGAAGGTCTCACGCCTTCACGATAACTGCTTCTTTCACTATGCAAACATAGTATGACTAGCTGGCTTACCCGGCTCCGCCGTATCCGGACCAAACTTGGCACACATACACTTCGGGCCCCGGCGGGTGTCACAGTCCACTTTTCGTTATCGATCGATGTCGATTTTACCGATTTTTATCGATTTTTTGCAGAGTTCACCTACAGGGCTAGGAGTTGGCACAGGGGGGGAAGTGAGCATGGGGATTCCGAATACAATATTAGTTTTCAGGATCGTCCATTACTTTTATCGATTTTATCGATTATTTTGTAAAGTTTGACCTGCGGGGCTGGGAGTTTGCACAGGGGGTAATCGAGCATGCAGATTACGAACACAATATTAGTTTTCAGGATCGTCCATTACTTTTATCGATTTTATCGATTTTTTGTAAAGTTTGACCTGCGGGGCTGGGAGTTTGCACAGGGGGTAATCGAGCATGCAGATTACGAACACAATATTAGTTTTCAAGATCGTCCATTACTTTTATCGATTATATCGATTTTTTGAAAATTTGAGCTAGGAGGCTGGAATTTGGCACAGGGGTGTAATCGAGCATGCTGATCACCCCCCTTGGGGATGATCAGCATGCTCGATTACCCCCCTGTGCCAACTCCCAGCCCCCTAGCTCAAACTTTGCAAAAAAATCGATAAAATCGATAAAAGTAATCGATAATCCCGAAAACCAATATTGTATTCGGAATCCCCATGCTCGATTACCCCCCTGTGCGAACTCCCAGCCCCGTAGCTCAAACTTTGCAAAAAAATCGATAAAATCGATAAAAGTAATCGATAATCCTGAAAACCAATATTGTGTTCGGAATCCCCATGCTCGATTACCCCCCTGTGCCAACTCCCAGCCCCGTAGCTCAAACTTTGCAAAAAAATCGATAAAATCGATAAAAGTAATCGATAATCCTGGAAACCAATATTGTATTCGGAATCCCCATGCTCGATTACCCCCCTGTGCCAACTCCCAACCCCGTAGGTGAACTCTGCAAAAAAATCGATAAAAATCGATAAAATCGATATCGATCGATGACGAAAAGTAGCCTATGACACCCGCCGGGGTCCGAAGTGTATGTGTGCCAAGTTTGGTTCGGATCGGTTAAGAAATGGAATTTTTTATTCGGAACCTACGGCGGAGCCGGGTATGCCAGCTAGTTTTAAGTAAAAACAAGAGTTCGCATATTGGAAATCTGGATGCGATTGCCCAAATGAGACGAAAAATCATAACCTAAAAAGTTTTGAAATTGCTCCATCAATCGAATATAAATAGATGTTCATGGAAAACTCGTGGGAAGAATATAGTTTGAAACCCAGTACCTGCTGCCCTCTTATAGCTTTTGAATTTATCTTGAAGACAAATGGCCACTAGCACGCAGGTAATATTCGCAATTGTTTATTTGCGTTTTTTAGGTAGTTTCTTGCAAACGTG